CCCGTCGAAATGGCGGGTCACTAATTTTTTCATTTACGATTAATATATTATAATATATAATATTATATATTTATTATATCATATATATTATAATGATAATATATTATATTATATATTTATATTATATTATATATATTACGATGATAATATATTATATTATATTATATTATCATATCGTAAAGGCACATTTGTGAGTTATTTATTCAATTTATATACTCTACTTACGGCAAATGTTACAATAACGCTTGTTAAAAATCGGAATAAACGTCTCATTGTTACGTTTATAAACTATCTTTAATGCTCCGTAAATCTAGCGTTAACCAACCCTTTTGCAGTCGGAGCCATTTTAACCCCAAGTCCAGAATAGTTTCTCCAGTCTACAACCCGTTGTTTTCATCTTCCGCGATTCGTTGCATTTTCATGCACATGAAAATGAGTCTCGCGACTCGTACAACAATTACGCTTTTAACAATCTTGCAGTTACAAACAAAGACAATATAGAAATTATTTTAGAACGCAAGACTGCCACCCTCTTCTGCGACGTCCGCACGTAACATTTCTTCATCGGTGCATTCATTCTACGAATTTTCATTGAACGCGTCCACAAATGAATAAACAAGTAAATAAATAAATACTGCGGTATACTGCGACGACTGCGAGGTTCGTGGACGATGGGTGCTCGCTCGCTTGTTCGCTCGGCCGTTCGTCCGCTGGCAGGGAATGAAACACGGACGCGAGGGACGGCGCGGGGGTTGCTCCGCCGTGTCAGGAGGGTAGAGTCGGCCTCGGAAACGAGGGTGGTTGCCGGCTGGCGGAGACGCGAAGGGAGTGGAGGGCGATAGACGGACGCGCAGGAGAGAGAGAGAGAGAGAGAGAGAGAGAGAGAGAGAGAGAAAGAGAGATAGCAAAAGAGAAGAGAGAGAGAGAGCAAAAGAGAAGAGAGAGAGAGAGAGAGAGCAAAAGAGAAGAGAGAGAGTGCGCGAGGAGAGGGAGAAAGGGAGAGAGACAGGGCTCGGCGGGAGAGCCGCGGCGAGGGAGGGACGCCGGGCGTCGCGGCGCAGGCTGCCGCACCCAGCAAAGCGCCTGCTCCCCTTGAACCGGCAAAACGTATACCTGACGCAACCCCGAGGAGACGGACGCGCGTCGTTCGCGACACGCTGTTGCTAGGCGCCCCGTTTTCGATTTCCCGTGCAAGTCTCTGTCCGGCAGCCTCTCGAGCAGGTTCGGCGGTCGCGGTTCGCGAGTTCGCGAGTTCACGGTTCACGATCGCCGGCTAGCCGAAGCGTCCCGAGTCCCGACAAGGTCACGGGGAAGCCGCGTTTCCGCGCTCCTACCCCGAAGAGTGTGTTCGCGATCCTCGCGGGGTTCCACGGTGTCGTGTTCCAGCCGGCGAGGCTTCTTCGGGCAAGCCTTCTCGGGCCTACGGACCGCGAGCCGCCCTCGACGGGAGCGCCGAGGTCGAGGACAAGGCGTCCGAGGGGTGAGACGACCGCCCCGCGGGTTCAGCCGCAGTTTCGGCACACACACCGGTACCGCGGACAAGTACTCGAGTGGCGTTAACGCACCCGACGCCGCGATCAAGGTGAAGCACCCGTGGCTCGAGACAGCCCGCGGGCGGGCCGCGAGGAGTGGAGGAAGATTTCGAAGCGGAGTGTCAAGGTTGCACGACCTTGATACGGTCGCCGACACCGGCTCCCGGGCCCTCCGCGTTTCGGAAAATTGGCCGCGTGGCGCGCGCGGTCCCTCTTCGGCTTCTTCTCGCCCGCTTCTCGCGTTTTTTCCGGGTCTCCCGGCTCCCGAAGAGCCCTCGATCTTCCTACACGATCCGCGAACTTCTCTCGACGCGGTCGCAAGAGTTTTTCACGCGGATACGCCGCCGCCACCCCCTTCGGATCGGCGGAACGGTTCGTGGTACAGTAATGTCTCTCTAATTGACGCTCAGATTGCGCACGAAATTGGACAATTTGGGAACAGGAGATACGATTATTCGAGCCTTGTGATTAGTTTTTATAGTTATTGATTGCCAACAATTACAAAAACGAGCTGCAAGGCTCGAATAATCGCATCTCCTCCTCCCATATTGTCCATTTTTGTGCGCGGTCTAAGCATCAATAAGGGAGACATTACTGTAGCAGCTTGCGGAGACCCGCTGTCGAGCCTCTCGGGGGCGATCAGAGGCGACGGCGCGCGATTTCGTCTTCGGAAGACGGCCCAAATGCTCCTATTACTGCGACGGTTCGACTTACTGTGGCTGCACGCTTCGCCGCGGCGTTTTAGCCGATCGGATTAAATTGATACCGCGATAAAGCGTACGCTCGCGTCAGAGCGCGCGTCCGCAGTAAAAATCGCATACTCGCAGAAATGAGCGCGTTTACCTTGATCCGGTCTTTCGCGAAGTTCCCTCGGATCCTTCCGCGACCAGCGATCAATAGCATCGATCGAAAGCATCGAGCCTTCTCGGCCGAGTCTTCCTCCGAGTGCTCGCGACCGCGTTTCACGCTTTTCTACCGATGCGGGAAGGGAACTCGGGTCACCGAGGATTCGCGGAGGTTAATTACCGCGACGAAGGGAGCAACGCTGCGGTGGTCGGCTCTGCAGAGACTGCAGACAGACGTGGGTGGTGTCCATCTTGAAATAGGCTGCATACCTTGCCGGGAGTCGCGCAGTCCCTACAAATTTCGTGCCGGCGGTACACACACAAACACAGCAGCACGTTTTTCCCCTCTTCGTATTATAGATCGCCGGAGTTTATTAATTAATCGCGTCGATGAGTTCGTTCGCGTCTTTACAACCCCTTCGAAAATTCGAAACAGTCGAATCTCCGACTATTTTCACAGCATTTTCGTTCGCTGCGGCGCGCAATCGACACGGCGGTTTGTTTATTTATATTTATTTATTCATATATATTCATTCATTTATTTATTCGGTACACGGGGGATAGAAAGCCGCGTTCGTTACCGAAAGAAGTGACAGAAAGGAAGAGTTACAAATTTAACGCCGAACCCGGCGAACGGTAAAATTGATTGGAGTGCAATGCCTCGTAAAAGTGGGGGAATCCAATTTATTTCGATTTTGTACAGTTTCTAGTAGCTTCTCTGCCCCCCCCCCCCCGAATAATGCAATTTATTCGATCGATTCCCATGAGAACGAGTGTCTTCGCAAACTTTTATAACTCGTCGAGCGAATTATTATTTGACCGCGGTACTCGAGGAGTTAATTTCATGAAAACGTGGACTTTCGGGTATTATATTCGACGGCGAGGAGGGTAGATGCATCGAACCGGTGTCTCGAGGCCATTCACCGGTGCCGGCGATCGGCCGGTAGGCCGGAAATGCTTCGTGTTTACGTTCCATCCGAGGGAATTTACGTGGCAGACAGGGGTTGATGGCCAGGCGAGCGTGCTGGGATGGGCGGATAGGGGCGGATAGGGGCGGACCGGGGCGGACGCGTTGCGGGCTGGCCTGCACGGCCTGCAGGGACTGCAGCTTGCAGCCTGTATAGTCTGCATCGCCTGCAGCCTGCAGCTCGCTGCCGGCGGCCGGCCGGCCGGCTTAGGCGGTGCCCTGCGTTCCGATTGGGGTAGGTTAGGTGCGCGTTCGGTGCCGCGTACATAGAGACAACTGCACGCGAGATCGCTATCCGTTCGCCGGGCTCCTTGCTAGTTCACCGCGAACCCGACGCCGCGAGAAGACCGAGAGAGCACCCTGCGATAAGGGATGATTCCCGCCACGCACCGCGGTTCCGGCTAAACTCGGATATTCGAGCGGCTATTCTAGCGTTTTTATTCTATTCCTGCGGCTTTTCCTCGGTGATCATCTCGCGAAGAAACTGTGACACCTTTTTCAATGAAATTTCAAGGGTTTTGTTGGATGTTAACCCTTTGCACTCGAAGCTATTTTAACTGTAAATATAAAATCATAGTATTTCTATTTTACTTATTTTCTAAAATACTTATAATCCTTATTTTACTAGATATACTAATATACTATATACTTATATAAAATACTATAATACTTATAGTATTTCTATTTTATATGACAAAATGCATTTTATGCATATGGATTGACTTTTAATCATTTTTTCAATCTAAACTTTGTTAATATCAAAATTATCTTGAAAGGTGATACAACAAATTTTAGTAGTGCCTCGGAGTCACCGCTCGAGTGCTAAGGGTTGAAATGATTAGTAACAGGGTTTATTAGACATTTTTATTTTAATTAGACATATTTATTTTATTACACATTTTTTCGATTAACCGGAAATGCGTTCGGCAAAATTGACGTCGTCGCGAACACCGTGAATTGTATTACAGTAATGTCTCCCTTACTGACGCTCAGATTCTGCAGAAAAATGGACAATTCGGGAAGAGGAGATACGATCATTCGAGCCTTGCGGCTCGTTTTTATAATTGTTGACAATTCGTAACTATAAAAACAAACCGTAAGGCTCGAATAATCGTATCTCCTCTTCCCAAATTGTCTACTTCTGTGGACAATCGGAGCGTCAGTAAGGGAGACATTACTATAATACAATTAGGGAGACATTACTGTAGTTGCGAAAATGGTCCACCGTCCGTGGATTAACGGGACCTTGTTCGACACGGATTTTTATGCAAATATCAAATTTTAAGAACTGAGTTTCGGATCTAAATTTGCCGGATCACTCGCGACGCGTCTCGATCGCGAGGCAAAGGGTCGAGGGTGAATCGACACGGACCTCGATGTCGTCGTGAAAAACGTCGCGCTGGAGGGTTATTGCAGACGCGGCGAGAAGCTGGACGATAAAGTTGCACCTCCCGTTGCACCTGTCGCGCGTGTTATCCGTCGAACGTATCGATTCGAGAGCGGCGATACAGCGAATGCTCCGGAAAAGGAAGAGCCGGCGCAGCGCGGCGCGTCGTTGCATCGGGCGTTCGAGTCGCATCGGAGCGTTAGAACTCGTCGAAATTTCGTCGAAATCTCGTCGAGATCTCATCGAGATCCCATTGAATTTGCACGCAGTCTCGTACGCCGGGAAGCTCTTGAATCCTGCGAGCACCGGTGGAAGCGGAAGAAGCGAAAGGAGACACGCGTTCGCCGAGTTTCGCACGAGTTTTTCACGCGTTCGTTCGGTTCGTCGGGACCGTTGGTGAATTAATTTGTCATAGATCGTAGAACTCGATCTCCGTGGATCGACGACGTGGTGCGTCGATTTCCACGATTTTTCGTGCGAGCAAGAGGAACAGTGCCGCGTCTAGTGCCGATGAAAACAGTGACTAGCGGTGGGTGATGATCAGTGAGCCCACCGTTTCGAATGAAGTGGTTTTAGGATGATGGTGGAGCGTGTCGAGGACCATCTCTTCATGTATCGACGTCCCGTCTACCGGGTCTTCCAGTACCTCGAAACCACCGAGTAAGTAATCGTTCACGATTTCAATTGCGATTCACGATAGCCCTAATGGTCGCGGGAATCGTCGCTATTCCTCCCTTTCGCTCGGTTTCATCGCGAGAAAAACCAGAGGCATTCTCTGGACAAATTCTCACGATTTCTCGCGATTATTCACCGAAGTGAAAAGCAACTTCTGCCGGTTCCGTCGGTCCTACAACGAATCCGCGAATAAACTATTTTACGTTATATCAAAATAAAATATTTATTTCATGCATCTTGCTGCGGATAATCGAAAGAAAATTTTTGTGTCATGCTTCGGCCGCGGATTATCAAAAGAAAATATTCATTTTATGCTTAAAAAAAAATATTTTAATTACTGAAATTTTGCTGCCCTATTTGAAATACTATTTTATTTGAAGGATAATTTTACTATGAAGGATCTATATTAAATATAAAATAGAATATAACAAAGAATCTATTTAATATTACAAAATAGTATTCGAAATATTTTCGCTATAAATATTACCCAGCACTGTCCAGCAGTGCTTTGGGATGTTCGTTTCGTGAACGGGCGTTTAGCCGACGAGAGTTAGGCTGGCGAATGGCAATTTGCGGGGTGCCGTGCGGCCTATGGCATACGGAGAATAGAGAACACCGTCCTCTAGAGTGGCCCTTCGAAAAAAGGGAAAGAGGAGGTTCTTTTTCGCGGCTGTTGTGTCGACGCGCAAGCTGTTCTTCCTCGAGGAGGATCTAGAGGGATCGAGGCGGGCCGAGGCGAGGGTGGGTAACCATGGCGAAATTGGCGTCATCGACCACGGAGCTCTCCTCGGTAACCGTTGCTAATTGGCGCCATTAACCGAGCGCCCGATGCCGCTCCGATCCGCCTTGAACGCGACGCCCAGCCGCGCTCGAGTTGCCAACTTTCGGATTCGTCGGGTTCGAACGATCCGATTATGATCCGTATGTGAGGGGACGTCTAAACACTTTAAGCACTTTTTACTTGCACACGATTTACTTCCAATGGGACTCGCGTCTGCAGACTATTTAATTTAATTCGACGCGAGTCTGTGCGAGGAGTCAGCAGAAAATATGTACAGTAATGTCTCCTCCCTAATTGAGACGCTCAGATTATGCACGAAAATGGACAATTTGGGAAGAGGAGATGCGATTATTCGAGCCTTGCAGTTCGTTTTTATAGTTGTCGACAATTTATAACTATGAAAATTAACCGCAAGGCTTGAACAATCGTATCTTCTCTTCCAAAATTGTCCATTTTTTGTGGACAATCTGAGCGTCAATTAGGGAGACATTACTGTAAAACGAAGATGTTTCTGTTTTTGAAAATCAAAAACGTAAGAACCGGTGGAAAAATAATAATCAAAAAATAACTAACAGACCAGCTAACTAGATTTATAGAAACGAGAACGCTATTTCATTTATAATAGAACAGATCAATGAAGTAACGCTAATATAAAGATTGAAAAATATCCTTCTTAAGCTACAATGTAGTTAGGAAAAAAAATCGAAATTCCTTGAACAAAATTTACAAACTACTTCAATTCTTTCTTAATATTGTTCATTTTCGAATCATTCGTTACAACAATATTGATAGAAGTTTAGTTTGAAATTAGATCAGATTAAATATATACAATAAAAAAAAATAGAAACACATTCTAGTTTTATTTTGTGATAACTCTTCGAACAGAAGAGAAAATACTATTTAACAGAAAATAAATGGTAAGGCATCGGTTAATCCGTTTATAAATAAATAAATGAAAATTCGGTCAGCCAGAACGGTTCGCCTGGCGGCGCTGTTTGCCGATTGGAAGCCCGTTTTCTGTTCGTTTTCCTCGCGGACGTGTAAAAAGAAGGGAACACGAAGGCTCGAATTACAGCGGAAAATTGGTCTCGGAGCCCAGGAAGAAGGCGCGCGCTGCAAATGAGAAAAGTTTTCGGTGAATCGCGACGGCGGCGGCGTCGGCGACCGGGTTGGCAGCACGGAGCACTGGAACTCTCGAAAGACGACCGCCGATTTCGCTGAGTCTCGAGACTCCTAGACCTCTCCGAGTCGCGTTTTCGTCGGGAGAACTATTTAAATACCGATATCGCCCCACGGCGATGCGTTTCCGTCCCGTATTTCCAGTCGTTCGGATGCTCTCGAGAGGAAAATTAAAACGCTGCCACGGTGGAACCGGCAGCTGGTTCCATCGACGATTTCAGCTTGAATAGAAGGGAGAAAGGAAGCCGAAGGGAGAATGCATTTGTTTATTTATTTATCTGGTGATTTCGTGCGAAAATAACGCTTTGCTATGCGACGCGAACAAGAGAAATTTTAAAGGAATTCGTTGACTAGGAGTCGGTGCTAAGTCTGGAGACTAAAACGATTAAAATGATAAGATAATGGATGAACCGTAGCGATACTAGAGGTTCTAAATGAGGAGAAAGAACTATATTGTTCCATTATTATATCAGAACTATTACACATGTAGAAATTTAGTGCGTCGCTGAAACGGTTACAGATTTAATGCCTTAACTCCGAGCTTGAGTTTTGAAGAAATCTATTCCAGATGCCAGCATTTCTTTCCTTTGAATAAACAATAATAAGCAGAAAATAATAATAAATAAAAAAGTGACAACAAATAGATCCTTTTCTTTCGTTATTATCGAACCATCAACAGGACGCTTCGCGGTGGACGTCTGTCGTGCTCGGCAGTCGTCGCGTTAAACAAACAATCGCCGGACCACATTTTCGATGGTATCCGCGTTATTCGCGTGGACCAGTGCTGTCGAGTTCGTTGGAAAGTCTAGCCGATGGCGGGCTTTTCGTGGGCGGACGTGGTTCAACGAGCTTTCGAGCCGCGCGCCGGTCGTAATTTTAGAAGCTGGAAGGACCACCGTCGCTCGTCGTTCTCGGCGTCTGACCTACCAGGATCTAAGCTACATTCTAAAGGGCTCGACTCGTTATATTATTTACCATTACACGAACATGTAATATAAATGTAACGTGTTCGTCGAGGCGAGACACCCAGCCCGGACCAAAACCAGAAACCGATCGCTGTCCCAATCGCGGATTGTCCGCGTCCGCGGGTCGCCGAGAAATTCTCGTGGCGCAGCAAACAACGAACCCGAGCATCCAACGAAATCGTGTACGCGATCGTAAAGCTCTCGAACCTGGTATTGTTAACGTTCCGTTGGTCGTCTAAATGCCAGCGGACGGTCGGCCGGCCGGCCGCTCCGTTCGCGGCAACCTTTCACGCCGATCCGCGCGATCTCGCGACGCGCGAGCCTAATCGCGCTTGCATAAACGAATGTTTATCTCGTGTACACGCGTGCAAGAGAGGAGAGAAAACGCGTAAACGCGTCGGCACCGCGGCCGGAGACAACGACAAGCGACAGGCTTGCGAAAGACCGATCGATCGATCGATCGGTTGACCGGCGTCTCCAGGCAGTCTGTCCGCTCGATCGCTCGCTCGATCGCCGACCTGGATCGGGCCTGTTCATTTGCGCCGTAGGAATTACGATAGCGACGCGATTTTTCGCGCGATCGTCCCACGCGTCCGCGAACCAGCTCGCCCAGAGAAAGAACCGTCGGGCGTCGTCGTCGCCGGAGAGCGAGAGAACGTGCGAGAGCGGGAAAGAGAGAACAGAGGAGAACGGCAGGTTGTCCGTTTCGACGTCGCATCGATCAGTTTCCGTTCGACGGCGGACCAACCTAGATCGATCGATCGGACCACTCTTTCCGTAGGAAAGAGAGACCCAAGGGACGTCACAGAGTGTTTCCTTGCCGTCGGTGAATTTTCGGCGAATTTTCGGTGAATTTTCGGTGACTTATCGGTGCGACTCGGCCGCAATTTTGGGATCGAAGACGACAAGGCGGCCTCATTTACCCCCCTTGCCGTTGCCATAATCAACCAGCACTCGGAGAGATGAAATAAGGACGTTGAACCGTCGCACGGTGGCTCTGGGAATTCGCTTTCTGTGGCCAAAAACTATTTTACTAATATATTAACGCTTAGCCAACCGAATGGGGAGATCTCCCCATTTTAAATTCAATCGATTGATGACCGATCAGGGAAATCTTCCGCGTCTAATTTAAAATGACTGCTTAATTTTATTAAGATTTGCAAGAGGTACGAATGTTGAAAAAGTAATCGATGCCATATAAGTTTGCTTCGTAATTCTTTTTTCATTGAATGAAATCTTTTAATTCTAGGAAATTTTTGAGGTTTCTGGCGCGATCGTGGAAGTGTTAATCATTTCATTTTTAATATATTATTCAAGTCCGATCATGTGTATTAACCCTTAACGGTCCGGAAGTATTTCAAGTTTACTTCCCACTTGGTCCAAGCTATTTTTCAAATCAAAACAAGACTGAATTTTGCATGCGAATAACACGAAAGTACACGTACATAAAAACGGTAAAAGATAACGGAACATAGATAACAAGCAGAAACCTAATTCACAAAAATGACACGGCACGATATTTAACGCATTACTAGTACATATAACAACAATCACAGCGATAAAAATAATAAATCGGTTCTTGCCGCCATATGCGCGGCATTGGACCCAGTAAGTAAAGTACAATGCCGCTCATATGGCGGCATTGGTCCGTTAAGGGTTAACGTATAGATCATCGAGGTGATTAGCATTGTAAAGGAATTCCTTCCTGCAAGTTTTTATATCCTATCGGACCGTTGGGAAAGCAATGTCGGTGTGAGCTATCTTATTTGGAAAACAGAAAAGTTACTTTTGCAACGTCACAATAGTTCCAAGAAAAGCGAACGCCGACCGACTTCCGTTTCGCCGGGTTGACGGAAACCTCCGAAAAATCGTTGTCTGTTTTGAAATTGGATAATGCGCAGTCAGCGACGGCCGCGCTCGCTGCGTCGAAATACCATCGGCATCTACGTATTGTCTTTTTTTTCCATATTATTGAACGCACGAAGGTTGGGTCGAATCTTTTGTTGCGGTTTGTTTCATGGTGTGATAAGACGTCAAATTGACGTACGCAGTAATCAGTC